AAAAAAGGCACATATAATAAAAAACCCAAGTAATGATGTTACTGTATTTTTTGTTTCCATTGATGTTGCAATAAGTTGATACATTACAAATGTTTGATAAGTATATATCATTTTTCAGTGACAAAAAATGACTGCTACAAGCTGTTTCATACCAGCAACACTGTGGGAAATGGGTCAATGAAGTCAGTCGTGAACATAGGCAAAAAGAAACCAGACTGTCAAGGAATCTTTGCTTTGATTCATCTCGCCATGCAGTGGGGCTTCGGATGGCGTGAAAGTGCAAAGTGCCAGATCTGATACCTATGTTTCGAAACGATAAAGCTTTACGCCGAAATAGACACCTGTAAGCGGGGAGTAAACCAGCTTCTGTCACCCGTGGCATTTCAATAGCTCTCACTCAGACACCAATAGCTTCCTCTGGTGGTCAGAAAAATATGTCATGGAGGGAATAACCAGCTCCCTCAGTTGCCTGCTCAGGGACTGCAAACCTTGTCAATGAGGTCATTTTGCAAAGAAAATAAAAGGACATGAAAAAGAATCAGGAAGAACTAAAAGAAATTAATAAATACAGGGGACTGCACAGAATGTTATAAATGTACAGGCAGATGGCATGTACAACAACAACTTGTACTAGCGGATGTGGGGAAAACACCGTTTCAGCCTGCAACGCAGGCATCAATATACAGTTGCGGAGACAATAACCTCTAAAAAACAAATGTTGCTGCTGAGCAAGTGAACAAAACTTTGTTCCAAGCATGGCTTTCCACACTCAAGAAGAACAGAATGCCGACAACAAAGTCTGGACCTTGCTCGGCAACAGCTAGCATTGAAACAACTATAGGAGACGAATACAGATGGGGCAAAAAAGCTGCTTCAGGGGGGGGGGGGGGGGGGGGGGGGGGGGGGGTGGATTCTACATCATGATGGGCTCGAGGTCAAATATCTAACCACTGAGCAGATTCAGGGGCTTTTCGTGCTGCCCACAGAACCTTTACGACAAACAAATCACAAGCACGACCTGTTTCATCAGCTGGACACGAAGCATCTGGCAGAAAATCATTCGGAACAAATGAACTCCTGCTCGCGCTTTTGAATATGATGCCCGGGTCATAATGTTGAATACCGAAAGTACTTAAGAAATAGGTTTGCCCTTGACCTAAGTCGCCGGTGTACAGCTGAATTTGAATCAGTATTACAAAAGGAAAACGGAGATTTTTCAAAAATAACAGAGAAATTAAAATACCTGTTAACTGCGATTAAACGCTGTTATGCTTGGGGACCATTACGGTTGCAATCTTCATTCGAGGTTTGTAAAGGCGCAAAAAACAATAACTGGTTAGTAAACAGTGCTTTCTTGACAAAAAATTTCAAAATCAGTTCTCAATATCCTGATAATCATGACACAATGCCTGATTGGATTGAATTAGACTAGGTGAAGATATGTTAAACAAAACTCGTCTTAATTCAAATACCCAAAAAGTAGAAGGGACGAACCGCGCTATTAAAAAATGCTTACCTAATAACACCACTTTTCCGCACAACTGTTCTGGACGATTTTCAGTGCTATACACGCTGTAAAAATGGGCCAGGGGTATCACTTATGAAACTATGCACCAGCAGCGGAGTGCCCAATCCAAAAGGTAGTCGGGTTGCCTGTCAATTACTTCAGAAAGAAAACGCGCTGAAAATAAAAAAGAACAGAAAAAGTATTGAATTCAAGCTTAAACGTTCAAAAAAGAAAAAGTCTTATGTATAAATTACATGAAAGTACCAGAGAGAAAAACAAATATGTAAAGGACAGTTACTGAAAGACCGTATTAATTATTTAAGTCAAAGACGACGTAAACAAAACCTGAATAAATATGAAGAGTCGATGCCATCTACCAGTGACCATGGAAGTTATACACGCCCTTTCTGTAGCCGGGCCGGTAAAAGACATGGGGGTTCGTGCCTGCAGACATAGACACTATGACCGAAGCAGTGAATCCTAGACATGTTTGTCTCATGCTTCTCTAGTACTAAGTGCCTAGGGTTTACGCAACATTTATTATTGCATGTATGGCTAACATCTAGCGACGACCCATCTGGTGCTAGCCGTGGCACATCCTCTCTTAGCAAACGCTGGTCCAACATATAAGCCAGTCTATGAGTACTTTCAATGGTCTGAAGACCATTTGGCCATTTAATTTTTTTTCTCCCATATCCATACTTATCTTTACTCCCTATCCAGATTTTACAGTCAATTTCCCCATCAGCATTCATAATAATTGAGTGTTTGTCCATATTTTTCTGCAAATTTGACCAAAATTGGTTCAAATCAGCCATTTTGTACATTTTTGTATATAACAAATACATATTCATAGCTCATTAGTCAATTATTATCAAAACAAGACATGTTAACTTACATCATTGGCACGAGATGTTTCCTACCATTTTCAGCCTTTAGGTCAGATACTCGTATTAATTTTCCATAGGCTTACATTATAAGAAATGACCTCAAAACAGACCTTAAAATTGAGTTTTCATCATAGAGATGTCATTTTTCTGGGAGAATGACATGCCTGACACATAAAACTCATCTCGTTATATAGGGGTAGCCGACCAATTTTTCGTAAAATGACTTCAAAGAGGATTACCCCCCCTTTACACTGTAATTCACTGCTGATCACAGGACTGACATATACTTTTTTAAAATGTAAATATCAGAGTAAAAAATTATCCTACAGACTTACAAAATACTTCATTTTTTTCAGAAAACAATGTACTGTTAGTTTCGAGAATAGTTTTTATACTTATACACAATACCTTCTCGTCCAATCACCTAATGTCCCATTGAATCTTACGGTTTTCCCTGCACTTTTTTTAGCCAATCGCTGGCCATGTAACAATACGTTACCCTGACCTTGATTAGTGTTGAAGCAGTTTTTAGCTCACCTGTCACAAAGTGACAGGTTGAGCTTTTGTGATCACTTTTCGTCTGGCCGTCCGTCGTCCGTAAACTTTTACTTTAAATGACATCTCCTCATAAACCACTAAGCCAATTTCATCCAAACTTCATAGGAATGTTCCTTTGGTGGTCACCTTTGAAAATTGTTCAAAGAATTTAATTCCATGTGGAACTCTGGTTGCCATGGCAACCAAAAAAAACAAACCTTTAAATATCTTCTTCTAAAAAACCCAAAGAGCTAAGGCTTAGATATTTGGCATGAAACATCTTCTAGTGAGTGTCTACCAAGTTTGTTCAAATAAAAGCCCTGGGGTCAAAACTGGCCAGGCCCTAGGGGGTCATTGATTTTCCCTATATGCATATAGTAAAAACTTAAAAAATCTTCATTTAAAGAACCCAAAGAGCTAAGGCTAAGATATTTAGCATGAAACATGTTCTAATGGATGTCTACCAAGTTTGTTCAAATAAAAGCCAAAAAAACTCAAATAGCTAGAGTTTAGATATTAAGCATGAAGCATCTTCTAGCGAGTGTTTACAAAGTTTGTTCAAATAACAGCCCTGGGGTCAGTATTGGCCCCGCCCCGGGGGACATTGATTTTCCTTATATGTGTATAGCAAAAATCTTCTTTGAAAAAACCCGAATAGCTAGAGTTTAGATATTAAGCATGAAACATTTTCTTGTAAGTGCCTACAAAGATTGTTCAAATAAAAGCCCTGGGGTCAAAACTGGCCCGGCCCCAGGGGTGTCATTGTTTTTAACTATATGTGTATAGTAAAAACTTTAAATATCTTCTTTTAAAAAACCCAATGAGCTAGACCTTAGATGTTTAGCATGAAACATCTTCTAATGGGTGTCTACCAAGTTTGTTCAAATAAAAGCCCAGGGGTTTAAACTTGGTGGGCCTATATACAGGTGAGCGACTTCAGGGCCATCATGGCCCTCTTGTTATAGTATTATAGCAATTTGAACTTGTAAGTGGAGACTTTTCAATGAAAACAGTCATTTTTCACAGTCATTTTTCACAAAATGCTCATGAAGTAATGGGTTTAAGACTGAATGATACTGTGTACTTTCTGTGGCTCTTGCATTGCATTTGCAATGAGACGGCACATTTCCAGAAATAGTGGGAAAATGTCATATTGCAGAATCCATGATCACCACTTTTTATCTGTGGATGTTGCTGAATTCTAAATTATTTTCATATTCATATTTTCATGTGAGGAAGCTATCCAGCTAGATAATACGTAATGTTGGTGGTTCTACTTAGGTGAAATAATGTACAAAAGGACACCTGAGGTCTTCCTTCACTAGTCTTCCTTCACTATTAAAGGTGGAAAGTCGCCATATGTTGTTGTGGCGTTAAACCCAAACTATTTCACTATCAGTACAGCATGGTCATTACTTAGTCAATTTATTTAAGACCCAATTTGTACAAAACAATAAATAATTGATGAGTCAAGTGATGTTTGCAAACAACAAGAACAAATATTATCTGATTTTCTAAATAATATATTATTAGTTTTCAATCAATCGTAACTTAATTTCATACTCTAAAATTATCTTAAAACGCAATCACTTTTCAAGCCTAATGAAATGGAAAATTATCAAGTATATCCCTCTACTGCTGGAAGGCTAATTACTAATGAATGTCGATTGGAGAATTTCCAACTTCATGGCTTTGAGATTGTATAATACCACAAAATTGTAATGGTTTAAATGACAAAATTTGCCGTCTCAGTTTTATTTTGTAAAAACTGTCACGTAACTTTGTTGTTTTTTTTGGCAGAGTGCCAAAAAGTTGATTGAAAAATTGAATGTACATGATTGTATCTTTTGCTTAAGATGTTTATGATACTGTTTTAAAAATTTGAATTACAAAGTGCCATGATGGAAATTGTACTGAAATTGTAATTTGTGTTTAATCTATAATTTTGTAAGTGGTTACGCTTTTTGGTTTGTTTTTTTGGTAACAATTTGAATTGATTTTTCAACATGGTTCATTCTTTATTTCAGAGGAGAATAACACATTATTTTTTTTTATATATATTTCAGGGTCCAATCAAGGTAATGGATTTCATTTGGAGAAGATAGTGTTCAAAATATACAAACAGGCAACAATGTTTGTTGCGGGGACAACGGGGCTTGGTGGACCCTTGTTTCACAAAGATCAGGTTCCAGAACACTTCCATGAGAGCTATATTGTCAACGGTTATAGGAACCCAAAAAGTCCTCCATTCCAGTGCTTACTGAGCGTGTTTGATGCCACGAACGAGACCCTCAACTTCTGGACACATTTTTTACCATCATGGTATTTTATGTGGATATTAAAAGATCTGTCTTACACGTTAGACTTTCAGCATGACAGTTACACTTGGCCATTACTGGGATATATGTGTATGTGTTGCATTTACCCTCTAGCAAGCTCTATTGCACACACCTTTAACACGATGTCTGATAAAGCGCGGCATGTATGCTTCTTTATGGACTACAGTGCTATCGCTGCGTCTGCATTTGGCACGGCTTTAGCTTATAGAGCGTACTCATTCCCATCAGATTTCCGCTCTGGATTTTTTGGTGATATGTTTTTGATAGTAGCTTTCATTAATTCCATTTTATGCATCGTTATATCATGTAAAACCAGATTTATGCAACTAAGTACATTCCGGAAAGTGATAAGAATCGGGTCATTAGGGTTGCCATGCATTTACACAACTATACCAACTACATATCGCCTCATATTCGGATCTGAACTAGACATGAATTTAACGTCCAATTATCAACATACAGTGAGCATAATTTTCATGTACATTGCCGGATTTCTTTACGGGACCCATTTTCCGGAACGCATGTTTCCAGGAAGTTTTGATATTATTGGACATAGCCATCAGCTTTTTCACGTGTGCGTGATCCTAGGTACAATGACACAGATGCAGGCCATTCTTTATGATATGCAGGAACGGAAACAAGAACTTACGGCGACCTGGGAATTTTCCGACCCCTCATCCAGTATAGGTATGCTAGGTGCCGTACTTTTTACAAATACAGTCTTTGTGATAATATATACAATGTTTTTGTATAGGAAATCAAACAAAGAAAAATCATGTTGATAAATGTTTTTGTATCTGTTAATATCGCCAAAAGTTCCGATGGTTGTTTTTGATACTGTTCTGTTTGAAGCTGTTAAATGTTGTTTTTTGTCTATTGTATTGGTTATTGGATAATTTTTTTTGATAGATATTCCTTTTTGTTAAAGCTACATGTACATTACTTCGAATTTTTAAGATATTATTTACAAAATAAAGAGCATACTGAAAATAATCATAGTAATTTGTGAGCAATTATATCTTGCATATTCTTTGTTCAAATTGTTTGCTTAATATTGAAAACAAAGAAAGCATCAAATTTGCTATTTTCTTTTTTCTGAGGGAAAAAATTTCAAACATTGCTGGGCCTTTAAAAATCTAAAATGTCAATGATTATGTTTTCTAAATCCAAACTACAATACTGAACTTTCCAGAAATGACTTAATTATACCCAGTGATGCTATGAGGTGCTTTTTTCACAAGTATTTACCATGCATACATGTAGTTCAGTTGAAATGTTGTTTTTTTATTATTGAATGAACATTTATAAGGTATTCTTTTTAAGTAAAATGAAATGTGTGAATGCAGTGAGTGTAGTTTAAAATTGCTTATCAAATAACAAATTAAACCAGCTTATTTTGTAAATTGTTGAAATCGAGAAAACAAAAAGAACTGAAGAAGTGGAAAATGTAGAATCTCATATACTGATACAGAATTAACAAAAATTATATTTTGTATTTAATTCACAAATCATTGTTGTTTTTACATTGTATATGTAAGAAATTCATATAATTGTAAAAAAATTAAGTTAATGAAGACCTTTATTATATTACTGCCATGAAGTTTGATATTTAATGATATTTTAGGGAGAAATTATTATTTGGTTTACATTGATATTAGAGGGTCCGGGAGAAGTTATTGTTTAGTTTATACTGATATTTGAGGGAGAAGTTATTAGTTATTGTAGCTAAATTATTTCATTGTATGATGAATGCAAAATTCAGTCTTAATATGTTTTATATAATGATTTAAAAGGATATTTGAGGATATTTATAGGATGGGATATTATAATTTCAATATACTGGAACTACCTTCAAAACAAAGAGATAGAATTTACAGACACTGAAAAACTGCTAGGAGTCCAGGTTGACAAAAATCTTAAATGGAAAACACAGATTCAAAATATTATTAAAAAATGCAATTCACAGCTCTATTTGCTTCTTAGAATCAAACAGTACCTTGATCTCCACTCCAGAAAACTCTTTTTTAATGCTTATATTTTGCCACATATTGACTACTGTTGCACTATTTGGGGAAACTGCAGTAGTGAATTACTTTCGCAAATTGTCAACTTTCAAAAAAGAGCTGCAAGAATTATTTTAGACAAAAGTTTTGATACCCCATCAAATATTCTATTTAAAGAATTAAATTGGATGTCCTTTGATCAAAGGATTATGTACAAAAAGGCAATCCTCATGTATAAATCTATAAATGAACCATCCTTTCCTATTTATATGAAAAATAAATTCCAAACAATAAATGACAAACATGACTTTAACTTAAGATCTATACAAAATGAAAAACTAACTGTACCCAAACCAAAAACAGAATTTTTTAGAAAATCATTTAATTACTCTGGTCCTGTGGTATGGAACAGCATACCAATCCATATTCGAAATTCTGATACCCTGAGGAAATTTCAATCCTCCTATATCCAGTGGCAATTTTCTAACTAATTGTTTGTACATATTGTTTCAAAAACATATACTTTCCATGCTGAAGTTATGAAAATGTCACTTCTCTATGTAAGAAGAAAAAATTGTTTACTTATTTATTGTATTGATATGATGTATAATGTACATATTTATGTTTATGTCTAAATGTTGATTGTGATTGTATTTTATGTTGTTTTGTATATACTGAGGCCCGCATGGAAGATCGGGAAACTGAATGTGTTAGCCTCATAAAATAAAGTCGTTACTTACTTACTTACTTACTTACATACTGTATTCAATATACTGCATACTGTATTTCAATGAGTTATTTGATATTGGTTTACGGTGTCGTGTTCACATCTATTTACATATAATTATTATATATTTTTATACTGACTATACATAGTTTATATTTCATTATTTTTATTTTCTCCTGCATTGTATCAAGAAGTTTCTACAATTTTATTATGTTTTTATGCCCCCTCACTTCCCTCGACTTTAGGGAGGGAGATTTGGTCTTCAATGTCTGCCATGCTGTCCATTAATAGACAGACAAATGGTGAAGTATGGAGTCATCAGTGCACATTTCTAGTTAACTTTTAAATCTGAAGGAATTCAATATGCAATTTGGCATTAAATCATCTGTTTTTCATTCACTTTATCTTTTTTAAAGAGTTATGGCCCCTTTTCATAGAAAATCTTTTGATTACATACATGTAATGGACATTTATCATTTTTAATGACATCACAAGCTTCTTTTTTTCAAAGTCATCAATTTCCTTAAAAGACTTTAATGATTTACACACGTTTTAGATCTGTTCTAATCATTTTAACATTTATTCAGTGTATTTTTCCCTATTTACCGGGCCAAAATTGGTCCCATTCTATGCTTTAAAAGAATAGTATGAATAATATTTTGGTATAAGTAAAACAAATGTCATAAATGCACGTACATTTTGTATTCTAGACAGAAGGAAATATTTAATTTCAAAGACTTAAATGGTTTTTATTATCTTCAAAAGAAAAATCGATAACCATTCTATAAAAGACTTAGTCTTTGAAGAACCAGCTTTGGTATGCGAGGGAAGAATGTATTATTAATGGCTTCATATATGTTAAAGTCTTTCATATTAATACATGTATTTTACTTATACATGTATATACACAACGTACATGTTTTGTTTGAAAAAATAATGTTGAAAATACTTGTTAACAAAGTTTTGTTCAAATACATTTGACAATGTAAATGGATGAAACATTTTAGTACTGTGATGATATTTTAAAAGTTTATTGTTGTTTACCAAACTTACATGTACATGTTAATATGAGATACATGGTTTCACTCTTGTTTGTTAATTTTGGGTAATGGACAAATCATGTAATTCATGTAATTACATTAAAACTGCCTAGCAGTGACTGTAGTATACTGTAAATACACCTAATGTTGTGGACATGAAATTTTGTGGTTTTGTCAGAAAGAACATTTTCGTGGGTACTTAAATACATGGACTGTTTATTTTTTCAAAAAGTAGAATGAAAATAATGCAAAAAAGCATGAAAATTAGTGTGCCACGAATTATAATGATTTTGCAGTACACTGTAATACAGTCAAACTGAGATGTTTTTAGTATGGTTAGATTTCACTATTATGTTGACTCATTTAGCTATAAAACTTAGGTATAAAGCCTCTGTCCCTGACCTTCAATGACCTACTACATGTATATGCTTGAAAGTTTTGCTATGATTTTACTATTATTACATGTACATATCACAGTTAAAAACACTTAATTATCATACAGAAGATAATTATCAACTTATTTGAAATATTTTGTCATATAAGTAGTTTGACATACAAGTAGTTTGTCATATAAGAAGTTTGTTATACACGTATATCTTTACAGCTGCAAGTATTTTTTTTTTTGTGTTGAAGGATAGTGGTTTGAGACAGGAGCTTTGTAACCTAAATCAATATCAGTGCATACTTGTTGCATATATATATATATATTATAAAGCCAATTAACATAACTACATGATACATATGAATATATAAAGTATAGATCTTAATTAACATATATATATTGATTAATTCTCCTACTAGTAAACAATGTACATGTATTTTGTAAGGTCATTCTTGCAAATTTAACAGTGTTTTTTTTTACTAACTTTAGACAGTTATAATATTTTTATTTAAGTTTTTTGACATGACAGAGTGTGGCAATCACTGCACATATTTTATTGAATATTACCAGCTTGCAGTGCAATATATGATAATTTATATGATTAAATAAGCATCGTAGGGCAAATTCTGTAGCCAAGGTCTATATTAAGATATTGCATCTATGAATCCACAGTGCAATATCAATGATATAGCATGGTCATGATTAATTAAATGCCAGTCTCCAATAGTTTGATCATTACAAGTGCAATATTTAAGATATAGTAGCCACTCAGCAACTTTACGTGCCATATCTTAGATATTGTTAAATCATTAACAGTGCAATATAGTGGCCCTCTGTCTGGTAAGAGATGGGGGAAGGCCATTTATGTTTTACTCCAATGAGATTTGATGAAATGTTGAAATTTGTAGCATATGCCACTCTCTGGAATGTCGGTTAAATTTTACACATTTATTTTATTATTGTAATCTGATAAATCTGTTAACAAATAGATTGTTGATAATCAAGGGCTAAACATAGCACTGTCATAACTCTTTATTAATAATCTTTGGTTAAAATTACTGTGAAAATTAGCAATACAGTTTAAGGGCCTTCATCACTGTAACCATATTTTGTGTGGTATCATTCTAAATTTGAGTTATGGACGTAAATTGATTTGAATTTGGACCTGATCATTGTGCAGGATTTTAATTAGACATTGATGAAAGCCATTGAAAAGACTGGTGGGATATACAGGCTTGCCTGTCTTTATACAGCTGGCGTTCGGAAGCATTGATTCCAGCACTTTTAAGTGTTGAGAATAGAGTACTGCTCAAGTCTGTGCTAGGGGGCGTGAGGGATGTTGCATGTTTTCATTACCCCTTGTGTACAAACTTACAAACTCAATCAAACTGAGTCTGCAATTTTCATGTAATTTTGTTGTGATTAATGCTTCCAAGGGATCATCCTTTCTGACCAGATCTTTAGACAAGTTATTATTACTGGTCACTGTTATGGCAATGTTGAGATTAGCCCTTGAATTGTTATTGTTAAATTTGTATTGTTTGTACTTTTATTATGTGCTTAGATTTTCAAAATGTGATACATTATAAGTGTGCTGTATATACTATATACCTATATACTATATTGAACTTTGTTAATTATCCTTTTGTCATCTCATAGGTGACTGTGAAATATCTTATTTCAGATGTAACAATATCAAAGACTCAACTTCATGCAAATTATTGGTGCCTGAAACATTTTTTGTTTAGAATTTTATTAACAGTTTTCATTTGGTTATATCCTGGAATAGACCCTGTGGTCTTTAAACCAGAAGTATAATTTATGTAAGGTTCATTCTGTTTTCATAACTTTATTATATACAAGTTTTACCCCAGAAAAAATATATAGGGGTGTAATCCAGGAGATTGCCTTTCATTTAAGAAACTAAAATAAATCTTATGATATAAATTGAGTAAATAATACACAATTATGCCTGGTTTATAATTTATACATGTATGTGGGTAACAATACTAGGGTTAAATTGACCTCTGTTTATTTTATCTTAAGTACTTCTATTAAATTTGTACTATGCTTTTGAATAGCTCGTAAGAAATATAAATGTATTCTTTAGCTAAAAATTTTTCTGTTCATCTTTTTAATTGTTCATAAATACTGCATAATAATTTGGTCACTGTTTTTTTAAAGGGTGTAAAGCTATATATTTTATGAAATATTTTAAAAAGAATATTATTAACAATAAAGTTATACTGTTTCCATAATGTAATGGTTGATTCTTAAAAAAGTTGTAACATAGAATGCCACAGAATAGAATATTCCCGAAAAAAATATCATTCTATTTTAAATAGGGTTTTATCCATTTTGCAATGATTTAGTGTATGCCATTATGCGGTTTTAAATCGCTTTTAAAGCAATTTACTACCATATATCTCTCATTCAAGCATTTTGGAAGTATGTATTCATTTTTGAAATTGACAAAGCAATTATTTTTTGCAACAGATATATAGCTTTATACACTTTAAATTTAAAATAATGTAAATCTATAACTAGAATAGCTGTAACATATCTTATAACATAGTCAAGTTGTTTGATCAAATCAGTGTAAAATTAATCTAATTTTTTGTTTTTATTTTTTTAGAAGTTTAAAGGGACTCCACTGAGTTTTTTGAGA